AGTAGTAAAACGCAACAACTTAACCGTATTAATATGTTGCCTGATGATTGCTTGTTGCATGAAACTTAAAGTAGCAACTTATTCAATTGAAAAATTGTATTAAAATATTAAATTATTATTATATGCTCTACAATTGTCTTGTATTGAGCACTCTTTATTCTTAAAAACGGGAAATTACTTTATGAAATTATAGTACAATATATATATATATATATATATATATATATATATATATATATATATATATATATATATATATATATATATATATATATATATATATATATATATATATATATATATATATGAATGTTGTGGTTTCCCACGTTGACGATTCCACTCGTGTTACGTTATGTAGCGGTTTATGAGTTGCTTTCAGACGAGTGTATACCAAACCGGGCAAGCAGAAAATTCTACTTGACCGCGGCTGGGATTCGAACCCGACCTTCGCATTTCTAGAACGATGCTCTACCTTCTGAGCTACAAGGTCAAGCTGAGAACGACGTGTTAAGTTATGATGTTATTCGCATTTCGGAGGTTAGTCCTTCAATGCGTAAAGCCAGCTATTAGTCTGGCAATGTTGTATGTGAATGTTGTGGTTTTCCACGTTGACGATTCCACTCGTGTTACGTTATGTAGCGGTTTATGAGTTGTTTTCAGACGAGTGTATACCAAACCGGGCAAGCAGAAAATTCTACTTGACCGGGGCTGGGATTCGAACCCGCGACCTTCGCATTTCTAGAACGATGCTCTACCTTCTGAGCTACAAGGTCAAGCTGAGAACGACGTGTTAAGTTATGATGTTATTCGCATTTCGGAGGTTAGTCCTTCAATGCGTAAAGCCAGCTACTAGTCTGGCAATGTTGTATGTGAATGTTGTGGTTTCCCACGTTGACGATTCCACTCGTGTTACGTTATGTAGCGGTTTATGAGTTGTTTTCAGATATATATATATATATATATATATATATATATATATATATATATATATATATATATATATATATATATATATATATATATATATATATATATATATATATATATGTATATTTATTATATGCTATCTTATTTTAATAAAGATGAACCTAAATACGATATACCTGATAGAGATTCACCTAGAGAGGATCAACGAAAATGGTTTGGCACAAAATTTATTGAAGAGTATGTAACTGAAAGCAAAGATGTTGACACGCTGGTGCAGCAGGTGGAACAGCTTGGACAGAGAAACACGACCCAACAGTACATGTGCCGCGTGGAAGGGTGTAATCAGAAATATGTTTTCCACTCAATAAGAGTAAAGTAAGTGTATGTATGTCGAAGAATCAAAGTTCCCAACTATATCTTATAAATTAAGGAACACTGTTGTTCCTATATCCCTTTCTCATTTTTTTTCAGTGTTAATTTACTCTGTTACTAGTGTGCCTTGCTTTCATACTTTTCCAGTGCCACAAAATGCTATAGTACCTTAAGTCGTTACTCACTAATGAGTACATAAGTAAGATATTCGGAAATGAAAACTATATATTTTCTACTATAAATTATATACTTTCTGTGACCTAATTGACCTCATCACCACACAAAATTTGCTATTTCTAATCATTTTTGCCATATTTTTTTGTTACAGACATGAGGTTACATGTCATAATGTCATTTTCTCAAAATATGAAGCAAGTGATGGTGAAAGAGATGACTTTGGTTTTTACCATTGTAGATCCTCATGTGGTTTTGTATTCTCGAGCAAAACAACAAGGAACAGGTGTTGTTAATAATTTATAACATTCACATATAAGTCAGACCACTGAGGTTATTTGTTTAAAGGGGCCCTACAGTCATTTTTTAGTCAAAAAGCCACCTGAAGTAATTGTTTACATTTTTTTGTTATTGTTGCAACTTGACATGCGCAATACAGCATGTATGCGTTTTCCATTGTGCGGAAGTACTCATACTCATGGATACTGCATGTAAGATACAACCAAACGAATCTCTGTGGAGTCCCCTACTTAAGGTGGCTTTTCAACTAAAAAATGACTGTAGGGCCCATTTAAAGTACATTATTATGTACAATATTTTAAAAATTGATAACATATATAATATATTACATAATCTGTGTTATAGGCATGAAACTAATAACCATGGCCAGACCTACACAGATGATCAAGTCCTGAAACCACATCAAATGACTAATCAAGAAGGATGTGAAGATCATACATACAACTACCATAGGTCTAAGCTTACATTTGGGCTTATCTTGTTTGACTATCATGATGCAATTAAAGAAGGTGATGGGGAGAGACTTTTTGAGATCTATAAGGTGTGTTTGTTATTATTCAAGGCTAACAAGAAAAGCAAATATGCATATGCTGTCTTCTTATACCTTGTGAAGATTGTTGCTATCCTATCTAAGAAAGAAGCACACAGCTTAAAATGGAACAGATTTTTTTAATAAGCATGGTACGAAAGCAGGAAATATTCCTCTTGATCTTAGAATGGAACAGCTAAACAAGATAGTGAAAACTATGTGGAGATCACTAGGGGCAAATCTCAATGAAACATCAGCTGCCCGATTGCAAATACAGTTGATGAAATGGAACGAATTTTGAACAGTGTAGACAATGACTGTGGAATTCAATCAGCTGTTGGTTACAGAACACAAGGCAACCAATTTGCTGCTGTACAACAAATAACAAAAGATTTGCTTACAATTGGGGCATTCACATATCAAGAAGGCAGACAAGGACATCCATCGTTTCCTAAATTTCCACATAGTCTGCTGGGAAGTTTGAATTTCAAAGATTTACGCTTATGGATGCTGGTATTATGCTATTAAAACCTGGGAACCTCTGTATGATCTAAATAAGACCTAATTCACATCTGTAATGTTGATCAGGAAAATGAAAAAACAGGGGTTTTATAATTGGCCAAGGTGTCTTTTTAGTAATATTCTGACAAGGTACTTCTGTTGTCTATAACACATGCATAGACTCAATTATATTTCCTACATTTTTTAGTCAAATTCATTTCAGCAAATGTAGATTACAAATGTTTATATTCGGTTTTGTACATAATGCTTTGATTGCGATTTCGATGTGAAAATGAGAGCATCAAAACAGGCTGGGTGGTCAGAAGCCATATTGTATAAATAGTATTAAAACAGAAACAGAATTACCCTACTAAAACCACATTTAACAGTTTTAAAGACTGTATTTACTTGATAAGCTTTATTTTGATGTGACTCATTTCCAGGACCTGATTGCAAACAAGGCATTATGCACAGCC